GAATTGTATGTTGCCTACACAATGACTGCGGGGCCAGCAGATGTATAAGTCCGTATCCTTATCCTCTCAGAAGAATCTGGTATCAATTTGCTGCTCTCGGAGGGTAAAGGGCTTGGTTGGCCTGGGCGGGAGTTGAGCTGAAATTCGAACCCAGGACCGCGAGTGGTCGTGCCACTTGTCGCTACACCACCTCGGCCTTCGCGCAAGCTGACCGCTTGGAAATCAAGGACTCGTGATTTTTTTACACACATATTTCGCAACTATTTTTTATACCTTGACACATACATTCTCCGGATTCACGTTGTCCGTCCTCTTGCCTGCTCTGCACGGGAAGCAAATACGTTTAGGTCCTTTTCACTCCCGTTTGAAATAGTGTGCCGAAAAGACAGTTCAAAATTCATGTTGGTGTGATATTGTTCCTAGTTTGGTTTTCAATCCTTAACAGTTTTCTGCCGGATAATGGCTATATTATGACTAGAGGATCCAAATCATACATAGTATGGTCCACTAAGACACCATGGTTGGTAGAAGGTGAGATGGTGGAAATTGGAAATGGAATATTCAGCAGACAGTCGGACAAGCTACCTGCGCAGAATCAGCGCTTTAAATATTTAGATTGTACAGATTTCGTGAAGGTGCAATGATACCTTCTTCTACATTGGTCTATATTTTTTGATCGTCGCCTTGAGGTATCATTGCACCCTCACGAAATCTACACTTTCTGCTGGCGGAAATCTCTAGAATAGATTAGGTCTGACCATCACCAAGGCGAACACTATCCTACTGCTTTTTTCAATTTCTTTTTTTACTAGGATGACACTATTCTTTACCATAGTTTTCTTACTTATTTTTTTTCACTGAGAACGATCTTGAGGTCCTTACAAATTTGGCCATATCCAGTGGACAGGAAACCGCGAAGTGTTACCAGGGTAGTAAAACTATTAGTCTAATCATTCGCACTTCTTTTTCTCTAGGCATCATCGCATCACCAAGGCGAGCACTATCCTACTGCTTTTTTCAATTTCTTTTTTTTACTAGGATGACACTATTCTTTACCATAGTTTTCTTACTTATTTTTTTTCATTGAGAATGATCTTGAGATCCTTACGAGCATATCCAGCGGACAGGAAACCGCGAAGTGTTACCAGGGTAGTAAAACTCTTAGTCTAATCATTCGCACTTCTTTTTCTCTAGGCATCATCGCAGAGCAATCGTGGAACTGATTGGACCTTCTGTCGCTGCTGATGAACTCAATTTTACTGCGTCTGTTATAGAGGACGAGACGAAAAACTACCATGCTTGGCAATACAGGTTATCTGCTTTCTTCATTTGTGAGAATTATTCCAGCACATTCAGGATAACGAGATTTCTATGTTAAATGTGGAACCTACGGTTTTGTTAAAGGTTCCTCTCTGCCGACGTAATCAAGCAAATATTACTGCCATGCTGATTCGAAGACATAAATAGTAATAGTTGTTTTGTTGGGGTGATGGCAATTTGGCTTAGGCCGCGTTAATCTGCAGAAAAGCAATAGATACGTATCGACTTGAAGAAATGCAGAAATGCCGAAACTGCAGAAGTGCGGAAAGTGCAGAAATGACGAAAAGCATTACATACGTATCGATTTGAAGAAATGCAGAAATGCCGAAAGTGAAGAAGTGCGGAATCTGCAGAAATGCCGAAAGTGAAGAAGTGCCGAGTGCAGAAGTGCGGAATCTGCAGAAAAGCAATAGATACTTATCGACTTGAAGAAATGCAGAAATGCCGAAAGTGAAGAAGTGCGGAATCTGCAGAAATGCCGAAAGTGTGGAAAATCGATACGTATCGGTTGCTTTTCTGCACATTCCGCACTTTCGGCATTTCTGCAGATTCCGCACTTCTTCACTTTCGGCATTTCTGCATTTCTTCAAATCGATACGTATGTAATGCTTTTCGTCATTTCTGCACTTTCCGCACTTCTGCAGTTTCGGCATTTCTGCATTTCTTCAAGTCGATACGTATCTATTGCTTTTCTGCAGATTCCGCACTTCTGCACTTTCCGCACTTCTGCATTTTCCGCATTTCTGCATTTCTTCACGAACGCAAGCTATGAACGCGGCCTTAGCGCCCAGCATACCACAAGAGAGCTTTCTTTGCCGCCAATAATGCACTACTTTCACAAACATTTCCCTGGCACAACTTGTGCTCGAGGAATTCATCCTAACATTCGATTGCGTTTGGAGGGATGTGTTCAGGCCAATTTCTTCCAATCGAGGTTTCCTGGGCTTACGCGCGTTTCTCATAATCGGTATGATTGGAGTTTGGGAGAAGTGCCACAACTTAATTTCCACATTTCAGAGGGTTGCTGGTTCATTTTTCCTTACCTCTCCCACTTGCTGTGTCAGCAGTGTCTTTAGCTGCGTTCCAACTTGTGTCTGTTTGTTCTCCGATATGAATAGTGTGCAACAGGGAAAGATTCGAGCCTACAACTATTTTTTGCCATGTTTGGGTACCAATTACGACGCATAACTTTTAGGCAGTCGATCCTGCGAAACTACGTGTTCGTTGGTGACGATATCGAAAAGGCCATTGAGGCTGAGCTCTCATTCACTGGCAAGCTCATATTTGAGGATGCTCGTAATAACTCCGCCTGGAATAATAGGTATTTTGTGCTGCAGTCTACGAACAAAATCGCGGATCCTGCCACAGTGGACAGTGAAATTAGGTAGTTTTTTTTGTTGCGAGTAAACTTTTCAGTCATCTCTATGTTTACATTTTTAGCCTTACCAAACGTTTCATAGAGAAGATGCCGAACAATGAAAGTGTTTGGAATTACTTGGCTGGGTATGCGATCCATATTGAATTTATTCGTTTGGAGTGGACTTTCTTGGAATTTTTTTCTGTCAGGTTACTGCTGGAAACTGGAGTGTCATCTAGACCTGACGTTGTGGCGTTTGTGGAAGATCTTTATGAGAGAACTGAACCACCTAGTCGAGCACCCTATCTGGTTCGTGACATTCTACCTCCAAGTATTCAACTCTTTCCATCCACAGTTTTACTTTTTTCCTAAGGTTTCTTTCTTGTGCGACATTCTTTTGGAAAATATCGAAAACGACGTCAATGCTGTTGAGAACTGCAAGAGAGCAAAAAGGAGGTATGACATTTCTGTAAACGTCCTGCTGAAATTGATGTTGCTTCCGAAAACCGAAAAAAAACTATATCCTGGAGGGGGGTGCATTTTAGCGGACCAGATGTTGCTTTAGCTACTAAAATTAGTCAGCCGTACATAAAACGATCGTGATATCCTGGGTCTGGTGTCGGAAAAACCGATAAATAAATGGTCTTGTTCAATCTCTTCGGTGATGTGTTCCTTGTTCCTTTCCGCAATAGTAGATTCGCTGTTATATGCGCTTCATACTCGCTGGCTTGTGGGTCAGTCGATATTCGTGCTTATGTTTTATCTCTCGCAATACCTATTGGCCGACCCCGGAGGCATGGCGTAACGAGCGGAAATCGAGCCGGGATTTGACCTCCAGGTCGCGCGAGTGTTTAGTGACTCCACTTGCTGATGTCACCTCCGCCTAGATTTTCCATGGCTAAAATATTCCTTTGAATAGTGGGGAACGTATCTTCTATTGTACTTGAGTGAGTGACCATGAGAGGCAATGACTAAAAAGGACCATTCAACTCTGAGTAAGCTCAGAAATGGTGCAGAAAGCGGACCGTAAGTGTGGTAGGACTAGCTACCACGCCGGCTCCATGTTCCGAAGGATGAATAATACTACCCACGAATTTTCACTTCGTTAAAAATATGCAGTGATGTTCTCCTTGAAGTTATCCTTTGGAGGTAATCTTATTTTAACTGGATGCGGCACACAGTGCTTTAAGGAACATCCTGATTAGTCCCTAACCGCTTTTTCAATCTGCTGTAATTCGATTCATCACCAATAGTGTCACCTAGTGGTAGCACAATGGGTTGATAGGTGATCATGAGGTCTTATAGCGTGCGCATTTTCGCATAAATGTTTCGCACGATTGAAAGCTACCGCGAGCACAACGTTAGACAACTGTCAGATTACTCCGGGATTTTTTTCTGTTCTTGACCAGTATCGCTAATTTTTTTTCTACGTGGTTTGACGCTGTCGACATATTATTGGAGTTATTGGTCTTTACCAGATTTACGCTTTATTCTGAATGCATTTCATTTTTATCTCGAATTAGGCACTTTCTCCGAGTAATGACAGTATTTCAGCTATACAACGAGCTCATAGCCTTAGACCCAACTCGAGCGAATTACTGGAAACACCAGATGAGGGTCGCGGACAATTTGTTGGAAAGGCGCTCCTTCAAAACAGTAGCCAAATGATTTTTGGAATTGTCGGCGAAAAAGCCACCTTGATGATTCTCTTTTTATCTTCTTATCAGTCTATCATGTTCTTATGAGTCTATCATGTCCGGTTTTTGTTTTACATTCATTTGAATGTGAAGATTTTCATATTTTGCTCGTACTTATCGTAAATATGCTACCTATTCGTTCACCTTGTGATACCGACTTCGGAGTGTTACTTGCGTCGATGTATGTGTGAATGTGCGAGACAAACTGGAGATTGTTTCAGCATGGGTTTGGGCCTTGACCATAAAGTGCTGGTGGTACTTGATCACGGTCCCCGCTTTGCTAGAAAAGCGGGAAATGTAAGTCAGTTTTTGCGCACGTGTTGAATAAAATCAAAGGATTAAGTTGTGATCATATTTTAAGCCGCTCTCTATCACGCTTAAGGAGTCTAGTGTCAATCGTACGGTACGTTTTGGGGAGTTTTCCTTCCCAGTACCTTTAGTTCTAGTCACTTATTCCAGGTTGGAAAGTGTGATAAATCTCTCTGGACATGGTGTGTTGAAGCGACCCTCGAACTGCATCGAACTGTTTCGGACCTTTTCTCCCAGGAACGGGATCCCAGTTCTGCTCGTCTTATGCGGCTTGTACTTGCTGATTACGTTGGCAGGGTACTTCAGCCGCGATGGGGTACTCAGCTAGTAACCCAACAAGAGGTCTGTTCGTAGCTTCATCACAGATATTTGTCTGTCTTTGTCAATATTCTGTAATAGTGTTCAAAGCGGAACCATGTTGAACTTATATCAACCGCTTAATTAAATAAATCCTGTGCAAGCGTAGTTGAGGAAGCCAGGTAACGTCCTTTTCTGTTTTGCGAGACAAGGCCACATCGACTTCGGTGGTCTACTAAAGCTGAGCCTTGACTAGAGCAAGAGACACGGGCAGCGCGTCGCTGCCCTCATCCAATTATGTTGAAGGAGGTGTCAGGCGGGAGGGGCTTGCCGCAGCGCCGAGCCTGTTCTCCACCAGTTGTTGAAGCAAGGAACCGACAACGAAAGATATGATATAGTTGTCGCTTACTCGCTTCAACAACTTGGCAGACTGGTCTGGCGCCGCGCGGGACCCATCCCGCTTGACACGCCCCTTCATCCGCAACGCAAACTACTGCTTGGTCCAATGTTATCACATGATAGTCGAAACAGCTTACACTAATGATCTAGCTAATAAATGGAGCTGAAAAGTGGGTTGTGTACGAGTTAGAAGGGTCTTTATCTCTTTAACTGATTATAGAGATACACTTGTTGTTTTTTGTCTTTATTTTGTTTGTACTCAGCTTATAGTATTCTAGCTTTTGGCATCTCTGTCAGCTATTGGTTTGCCATCTACCAATGATGATAGTGAAAGCCTGGCGCTGAGTGGAGTTACTCTTGCCATTGAAGCTTTGAGTCAACTGAGTGAAGCTCAAATCAAAGGAGAAAAGAATGAGAGTTCAAATGAAAGTAAGAGTTTGAGTTCATAGTCTTTACGTTCTCCTTTTATAAATGAGTACTCTTTTTGTTGCCTTTTAACTGACTCTGGTTTCGATACTGTCTAGCATGCAGTCTGAGGGTCCTTTCAAGTCTTTTTCGTTATATGAAGGAAGTAATAGTTCAAGTTTGGTACTAGCAGGAGAAAAGGGAAGTAGGACAGGAGCCACAATGGAACATGGTCTTGAAAGTTGATCAAAGTCGAGTTTGTAACTTTTGTTTTCATTGTAAAATGGAAGTCTTATCAGGTCAAATAGTGTACGCGTTTTTCTGCTTTGGATTGAAAACTTCTGATGGGTTCTTTTTTTAACCTTTCTCTTACCATGTTTTTCAGAGAAATGCAGCGTGTCTAAGGAAAGAAGCAGTTTCTCACGCGAACCAAAGTGCTGGGAAGATCCTTCGCCTTCTTCAGTTGCTCCGGAAACAGATCGGAAAGTAGTCGAAAATTGTGGATCGGTCGTGATCTTTACGGCATACGCGGAGTGCGTTCTATTCATTTTCTTTTTTATAACTATTTTATTTTACTGTCTCACCTCGTATTTTTTAGAGATGAGCGCCTAACGGAATTGGAAAACGAAGTGGCTGATATGATAAACGGTCGTAATAGAATAATCAAGTCTCTGCAGGATAGCTCGTTGGTTTTTGTAGATACTGACAAACGGCTTTCTGCGCTTTGTTCAACTGTTCACTCATTTTCAGATTTTCTTGCATAAATCATGTGAAGCTATACATCATTAATATATTTCCTGGTGATCAATCTTCTCAAGTCACATCAAAGTCATTTAGAGAGGTGAGAATCCTTTGTAATGGAAAAGTGAAACATCTTCATTTCTTCTTGTTCTTCCGCCCGCCTAGGTGCAGGCCCCGCATACTGCAGATGTTCCCTTTCATTGATCCCTTCCTGACCTTAATACACTTTTCCCGTTGTGTAGGGTTGTATGGAACTATTTTCCGACTTTTTGAGCCTACCTCCGCACACGTCGACGCACGCCCCGCCCAGAAGATTCTTCCATCTTTTGTAGTGCTCTGGAACCGAACTACATTTTTTGAACTCAATATGTGATGCTTAAGGGCACGCTTCCCCCCCCCCCCTGGACGGGTCTTAACATAGCACTGACTTAGTTGCTCTGGGACCGATTTATGTATTTTTCTCTGAGACACCGCCAAATTTCGCTGCATGCCCCGTCCACTGTGGGCCGGGCTTACCATAGAACAAAAGTGCTTCGTACATCTTGGCCAAGTCCTATCTGTCCCACAAGTCGTCTTAGATAGGACTTGGCCTATCTATCTCACAAGTCTCATCCTAGCCTGAAAGTGGCTATTCAAGGCAACCGAGTTTTCGGACAAACAAACAAACAATCAGATGTAATAAATTACGTATAATAGTGATATTTCCCTTGGTATTCAAGGAATATCATATTAGCCACGTTATAAGTAACACTTTTGAATTTCCTTGTGATATTTAGTCCATCACAGGGCATCCTCCTCTGTTTCATATGTAATATAAACTTTTATTTTAGGTGTCGAGCACAATGTCATCATGTATACTTTCTCGTTCAGCGGGTGTTGAACTAATTTCTGCCATTCATTCTGTCGCTATAGATATTTATGATCTTGTCTCTACTACGGTCTCAGGTATCCCTATGAAGGTTTGTGCGTAGCTCAATACTGGAGAGATAAATTCACAAAAAATATACTCTGAGCTGAGAGTATTCATTACTTTTTGCAGATCAGTCGCCCTTATGAGTAGTGATTCTTTTATTACGATAATACTGTTTTGCGCCACAGTTCGGGAGGGGCGGGTTTGAGTCGCACGCGAGGTCAAGGTGTTTACCCATAACTCAGCACTCTTGTGTGCTCAATGGCTTCAGTGATCGACTCCAACTATTTCACCGAAGCCCACCTTTAAACTACTCTGAATCAGGTCTTTAAATATCTCTCGGCAATCTTATGTTATCGACGACCTGATTCATATGCAATTTCATTCCTTGATCATAAAATGTTGTCATTCACCATGTTATGAAACAGCAAGAATGTCGTTTTTTCCATTCATACCAGTATCTGAGGCTGAGTAGTTGCACGCTTATTACGTTCACGGTCCTGGTGCCAAATCCCGGATCGATCGGCTCTCGGTCACGCTTAGCAAGCCCTCCACCCTTCGAGGGGCGCCAATTGATACCATGTTCGTCTGAGAGGGTAAGAACACTAACTTGTACATCCACTGGCCCCTTTCATCTTTCGTATCAGGGTCTGTATGACCTCTGTGCTGTGGACGACCAGGTCCAGTTCCTTTGCGCATTTTCGTTTTCAAAGCATCTAGAAGAGTGCATTCGTGTCCTAGCTGTGATATGTTGTGCGGCTATGTTACTATTCGAAGCTATTTACGCTCCG